TACACCTCCCCCCCCCAAAAAAAATGCATAAAAACGGGCAAAATAATAATGCCATGTAAAGACACCCTTTATACTTAAGTATTGTGCTAATTATCGTTTCCGTTCCAAACGGCAAAATGGTATTTGAAAGCATACTTCAGTTTCCCTGTAAGATATTGGACTTTTGGCAACCAAAAGAACGGCTGACTGTACACAATAGAGTGTTCATTGAAGCTGGAAGGGAGTTCGGAAACAAAATAATGACTAAAATCCCCTCCCCCAGCACCAGTTAGAGGCACATGTAACGTGTGGAAATTGCGAGCAGAAATATTCCGAAAGTTCTCAAGTTTTTGTTTTCAGTGTTGTTTGTTTTACTGCGCCAAGTGCGAAAATGCACACAACATCATGCAAAGTAATAAGGATCACTGTGTCATGGTGCTAAAAGAGTTTCAAGACAAGGACTTTGGGCATGTGTTAAAACGGCCTGTATTTTGTCCTAAGTCACGGCTCAAGAACGAGGAGCTGAAATATTAGCGCCCGCGAGTCTAGAGACACAGTTGGATCAGAAACAGGCTCTAAAGGACAAAATTTTTAAATTGCAAGATTGGCTTTTTTCCCTACCACGTTTTCTGCGTCTCTCAATGCAATGTCAAGTTTTCTCTATTTGTACACCTGGATTTTAAACTTGTCTGGCTGAAAGGGATACATCTGAATCGAAGGAGAATTTCAAAACTCAGAAAACTTTGCTAAGGAATTTCCCAAGTTTTATTGACAATAACTATTTACACGCACGAAGAAATTTTTCTTTTGATGGAAGGGATAATTTTTTATTAAAACCAAAGTAACTGAAAAACAGCTCGACGGAAAACCAAATAAATAACAGTGAAGGCTGCAAATTGAAATAATTAAGGAAAATTACAAGAAGATTTGATTTCTTAAAGCGATCGACATATAAACTGCATCTACAATATCAATTTATTTCAGCTGACATGTGATAGAATAGGCTATTTTTTTCTGCAAGGGAGTGTTTTCTTGATAGGAATACA